CGGTCGTGGGGCTTGAACTCTGGGCCTGGGCGCTGTCCCTCAGCTCTTCAGCTCAAGGCAAGCGCTCTACCACTTGAGCTACAGCGCCACTTCCGGTTTTGTGGTGGTTTATTGGAGATAGGAGTCTCACGGTCTTTCCTGCCCCTGGGCTGGCTTTGAACCGCGATCCTCAGATCTCAGCCTCCTGAGTAGCTAGGATTACAGGTGTGAGCCACCAGCGCCGGGCTCATCTTCCTTTCTTAATGAAAGTAATAGTTTAAAAATTTTCAATAATTACTTTGGAATTTTTTTGTAGCATCCTGACAAATCAGGGCAGTTCATTTGATAATAAATAGAATCATGCTAAAAACAGATTAAATGAAAGCTTAAGTTTGTAAATAGTTTAGGATATGATATATTGCTTCTAGTAGCACTAAAGGATTATGTTGCTTAGCATATAGTATCATACATGGGTATGTTGATTTTTAAAACTTCTTAAACCATTGTTTTAAAATATAATTTGTTTTGTTTTAGAGTTTAAAGCCTGCACCTCATCTGTTTGCCCAGCTGAGTAAAGTTCTCAAGTTAAGCAAAGTACAAGAGGTAAGTGGTTTAAGAAAAAGAGTTGTAGGGCTAGAGTTATAAATAATCACCTGGCTTTAATGTAATATTTATTATTTCAGGTAATTTTTGGCCTTGCCCTCTTGAATTCTTCCAGTTCAGATCTCCGAGGTTTTGGTAAGTCACTTTGCTCCAAGCATAAGATTAATCTTAAGTTTTTCTTTTTCTTTTTTGTTTTAATAGCACAATGCAAAATTTGCTCTCATAGCTTCGTTCCTTTTTTGGAGGGGGAAGGAGCTATGGATATAAACTTTAGTTTTACACTCTTCCATTGAGCCAGCCACACTGTAACCATATATGCACATTATTATATAATTGATCTTAATCTTTTCATCATGTAAAACACCCCTTCAGTCAGTTGTAGTTAGTCTCTGCTCCCTCCTCTTTTTTTGGGCGGGGTGTCTGTCATGGGGCTTGAACTCTGGGCCTGAGATCTGTCCCTCAACTCTTCAGCTCAAGATAAGCACTGAACCACTTGAGCTACAGTGCCACTTCAGTTTTCTGGTGGTTAATTGGAGATAAGAGTCTCACAGACTTTCCTGCCCCGGCTGGCTTTGAACTGCGATCCTCATAGCTCAGCCTCCTGAGTAGCTCGGATTATAGGTGTAAGCTGCCGGCGCCCAGCTTATCCTCAGTTTTTTTGTTTTGAGGGGTGGGCGGTTGGAGATTCTTGCTATGTAGCCCTTGTTGGCCTCAAATTCACCAACCTAATTTATCCTAATCACTAAGATTATAGGCATGTGGCAGTATACATGGCTTAGTCTTTTTTTTATCTCTGAAATAGACCTGTAAATGTATTAGCTAAATTATGACTTGGTGAAAGAAAAAGCATGATATCTGTATATATTGAGTATGTGAATTTTTACATACATGGTCCATAAATAACTTATGGTGTTTGGTTTACTTGATTTCTAGCTGCCCAGTTTATTAAACAGAAGCTTCCAGATCTTCTGCGTTCTTACATAGACGCAGACGTCAGTGGAAATCAAGAAGGTGGCTTCCAAGATATAGCAATAGAGGTCCTACACCTCCTCCTCTCCCATCTCCTTTTTGGGCAGAAGGGAGCATTTGGAGTTGGACAGGAACAGATAGACGCTTTTCTTAAGACTCTGCGCAGAGGTAAGAAATTCTTTATAAGATCTGATATCACCTATACTAGGATGTTAGAAAATTAGCAAAGACAAATTTACTTATTTCTTACTTTCCTAATTTATTTATTTTTTGGCCGGTTGTGGGGCTTGAACTCAGCCTGGGCACTGTCATTGAGCTCTTCAGCTCAAGGCTAGCGCTCTACCACTTGAGCCACAGTGGCCACTGAGGAATCGAACCTAGGGCCTTATGCATGCGAGGCAAGCACTCTACTACTGAGCCACCTTTCCAGCCCCTTATTTTCCTAATTCTATAGAGTTTTTAAATTAAAATATAAAAGAGACTGAGCTCTCATAAACAAGTATTAGATGAACCTAACTTCATCAGTAATCTTTGCTATGGAAGTAGAATCCAGATAAGACTTGGAATATTTTCTGTAGTCTTTCTGGGATGACTCCCGCCCTCCCCACTCCCTTAGGGAGACTCCTTTGTAGTGTTAGGCTGCTTAGAAAGTTGGTCATGTTTATTACGTTATATTACTTCCTTCATGTGGGCATTGTAATGATAAGGTAAATCATTTTGGAGAGAAAAACTGTTCTCTGAAATTATCCTATGAAGTAGTGACATCCTATCTCAATGTTAATTTTGTCTGTTCCCTATTTCTATAGCTTAATTTTAAACTTCATTACATTTCTTAGTGATGGCAAGAAACATACTTTTTGTTTTGGTTTTTTTTTTGGGTCCGGTAATGGGGCCTGAATTCTGGGCCTGGGCGCTGTCCCTCAGCTCTTCAGCTCAAGGCTAGCACTCTACCACTTGAACCATAGCGCCACTTCTGGCTTTTTTCTTTTTGCTTATGTGGTGCTGAGGAATCGAACCTAGGGCCTCAGGCATGCAAAGCAAGCGCTCTACCACTGAGCCACCTTCCCAGCCCCAAGAAACATTCTTTTTATTGTTTTGGTGTTAGTTCCAGGGCTTGAACTCAGGACCTGAGTACTATCCCTGAGTTTTTTTGCTCAAGTTTAAGCACTAAACTGCTTGAGCTACAGCTGTACTTCTGGTTTGTTGATGGTTAAATGGAGATAAGAGTCGAGTTTTCTTGCCTGAGCTAGTGTTGAACCAGGACTCTCAGATTTCACTTCCTGAGTAGCTAGCATTACAGGTTTGAGCTGGCAGTGCTTAGCTGAAAGGGATTCAGAAAAATTTTCAATTGCCTTTTACAAAGGGTTATGGTTACATAAGTCAGGTAAAGGGTATATTCTTTTCATAATTAAACATTATAAAGGAGATATATAGAGGGATTACAGTTTTATAAGTTAGGTAATGAGTGCATTTTTTTGGGGGTGGGGAGGGTCAGTCATGGGGCCTGGACTCAGGGCCTGGGTACTGTCCCTGAGCTTTTTCACTTAAGGCTAGCACTCTACCACTTTGAGCCACAACTCTACTTCTGCTTTTTCTGGTGGTTAATTGGAGATAAGAGTCTCCTGGGCTTCCCTGCCTGGGCTGACTTTGAACTGCAGAGCTCAGCTTCCTGAGTAGCTAGGATTACAGGCTTGAGCCACTGGTGTTCTAACACTGGAGCCACAGCACCACTTCTGGTTTTCTGGTGGTTCATTGGTGATAAGAGTCTCACAGATGTTCCTGCCTCGGGTGGGTTTGAACTGTGATCCTCAGATCTCAGCCCTGAGTAGCTAGGATTATAGCTGTGAGCCACCCATGTCTGTCATGCAACAGGTTTTTATACACTGTTTCTGATACCTTTTTTTGGGAATTGATTATTCTGTTGTGACAATTTAATCACTAGGCTTTGAATTGATAGATACTTGAGTCCTTAGGTCAATAGTTAAAAAAATATACACATAGGTAATGTCATTGTTGTCGTTGTCGCCTTTCCCTCCTTTGGGTAGCTCTCTACCACTTGAGCCACAGTGCCACGTCTGGTTTTCTGGTGGTTTATTGGAGATAAGAGTCTCATGGACTTTCCTGTCCAGGCTGGCTTGGAACTACGATTTTCAGATCTAAGCCTCCTGAGTAGTTAGGATTACATGCGTGAGCCACCAGTGCCCAACTCAGATAGGTAATTTTTGTGACATAAAAATTCAAATTTTGTCTGGGTACTGGAGGCTTACGCCTGTAATTCTAGCGACTTAGGAGGCTAAGATCTGAGGATTACAGTTCAGAGCCAGCCCAGGCAGGAACGTCTGAGATTTACATATCCTATTAACCACCACTAAACTGGAAGCGAATCTGTGGCTCAAAGTGGGACAATGCCCTGCGTTCACAGTCCATGAATTCAAATTCAAATTCTAGAATTAATATAAAGTCGTAATGTAGATTAGTTGGTTGCCGAAATTAAACTTTACTTTGAATTTTAGTTTTTGGGTTGGATTGGGTTTGGAAGATTCTCAGTGTGTTTTGTTTTGTTGTTTTTTTTAAATAAAATTCTTGGTGAATCTGGGGCTATGCCCATGTCAGGAAAGTTCTCTACCACTGAAGTCACTGAGTTAACCTAAACCCTTAGCCCCTGGTGGTTTTTAATCTGTATAGCAGTTGTATCCTTTTTATTCCCTCAGATTTTCCCCAAGAACGCTGTCCTGTGGTGCTTGCACCACTTTTATATCCTGAAAAACGGGACATTCTAATGGACAGGATCCTGCCTGATTCTGGAGGGGTAGCTAAAACCATGATGGAGAGTTCTTTGGCTGATTTCATGCAAGAAGTAGGCTACGGTTTTTGTGCAAGGTTAGTAGTAAAATATGTTAAAGTTCTGATTACTTTTGTGGCAAACAATAGGTAATTCTTTAAAACAATTTTTGTTTCTACATTTTAATTTTCCACATACTAGTGTTGGTGTCAGCTGTAAACATCCTGAGAGGGTTAAATTTCTGTCTGTCTTGACCACTTTCTCAAATTAGGAATTAAGGCTTTAGGCCTAGTTACCAAGATAGGCATAATTAAGCTTTTGGGGAGGAAGACAGGTGTAGGCAAGAGTTACAGAACTTAATATCATTTTATACTTAGTGTCTAATTTTTTCTTTCCTATTCCCTACCCTCAGTATCCTCACTATACTTTCATGTCTTTCCTTTTCTGCTTCACTATATGACCTTCCAAGTAGAGCAATGAAGGCACTGAGAGGTAAAGTGTGAGTTGACCTGTTGTAGTCATGGTATGACTCAGCCTGCTAGGTAATTTTTACTTGCCAGTCATCAAAAGAAACCTTGGGGGGGCGAGAAAAAAGACTTTGAAAACTATTATTAATAGTAGCTGTACTTGTGTCTGATGTAATGGAATTAATTTTTTTTCTCTTGAGTATATAATTAAGGGCATTGATAGGCTTTGGTTTGGGTTTAAGTGTAATTTGTAGTGTTTTAAAAGCGTTTATACAAGTCCCTCTTAGATATCAAATGTTTGTTTGTGAGACCCTCATATATGTATTCACTTTTAAGTTACTTTTAGATGGAAACTGAAAAAGCATGCATTTTCAGGTTCTTTTCAACTTATCTTATGTAAAAAGTAACTTGATTCATAGTGAAAATTGGATATACTTTTGTTTCATTGTGAGAAGTATCATTATTGGCTTCATTTTCTGCCATTGGTAGTTTGTACTTTCTGCCATTGGTAGTTTGTACTTTTGCCGTTCTCCTATTAAAGTGGGTACTTCTGCTGTGCACAAGTGGCTCACACCTGTAATCCTAGCTATTCAGGAGGCTGGGATCTGAGGATCAGGTTCCAAGCCAAGCCCAGGCAAAAAGACTGTGAGATTATTATTATTATTATTATTATTTTTTGTCGCTTGAACTCTGGGCCTGGGCACTGACTGTCCCATCCATACATAGCTCTTCATCTCAAGGTGAGCACTCTACCGCTTCAGCCATAGCACCACTTCCGGTTTTCTAGTGGTTTATTGGAGATAAGAGTCTCATGAGCTTTCCTGCCCGGGCTGATTTGAACTGTGATCCTCAGATCTCAGCCTCCTGAGTAGCTTGGATTACAGGTGTGAGCCACCAGTGCTCGGCTAGTATGTAAGATTTTTATCTCCAATAAACTACTTAGGAAAAGCCAGAAGTAGCACTCTGACTCAAGTGGTAGAGTGCTAGCTTTGAGTACAAAGAAGCTTAGGGACAGTGCCCTGGCCCTGAATTCAAGCCCAAGGACTGGGGGGAACAAAATCAAGTGGGTGGGGCTGGGAAGGTGGCTCAATGGTAGAATGCTTGCCTCACATGCATGAGGCCCTGGGTTCAATTCCTCAGCACCACATAAACCGAAAAAGCCAGAAGTGGCCCCGTGGCTCAAGTGGTAGAACACTAGCCTTGAGCTAAATAAAGAGCTAAGGGATGCACCCAGGCCCAGAGTTCAAGCCCCTGACTAAAAACAAAAAAAAAATCCAAGTGGGTAATTTTTATATTTTTATTTATGTTAACATTTCTTTATCTTGGTATTTCAGAATAGTAGTGTTTTTTAAAAATTATATTTCTGTTTCAGTATTGAAGAATGTCGGAATATAATCATGCAGTTCGGTGTTCGGGAGGTCACAGCTGCCCAGGTTGCCAGGGTTTTAGGAATGATGGCTCGAACTCATTCAGGATTAACAGATGGTATTCCATTACAGGTTTGTTGAATTCAGCCATTTTACAAAGTGAGTTAATGTCCTGCTTTCGATATTTTGCTTACTTACAGCAGGATTGATTGTCATATCAGCCAGAGCCAACCATTAAATGGTTTATTTTGAGTTTTAAATTTAATTTCAAGTTTTACCTCTACAGAGTATCTCTGCTCCTGGCAGTGGAATCTGGAGTGATGGAAAAGATAAAAGTGATGGAGCACAGGCACACACATGGAACGTGGAAGTCTTGATTGATGTTCTTAAGGAACTGGTAAGTTCAATTTTACACACACACACCCCACTTGAGCTCTACCACTTAATCACACACACACACACACACACACACACACACACA